ATTAATGAACCTCCTCCCCTTAATAGGGGTTATAGTAGGGATCCTAATATTAAGGCCCTTAAAGGGAGGGGGTTTATTAATCAGGGGTTTACATTAGATCGCATCTTGAGCGGGCCTGCCGGCTCCACACCAAGGCCTGCTATGCTTCCGGCACCTTATACACCTCCCCCACACTAACATGGAACGCAGTTTAAGGTTTAGGGACATGGCACCTGAAAAGGGACCCTATATAGACTACTATCCCATAACAGGGCGCCTATTTAAGGTTCCATGTTCGTTTGGGGGGAGGCTACACCCCAAAACTTGGGGTTCTATAGTGCTCTCTTCCTTGGCTTCAGGAATCTGAATCTGAGCAGCAACTCCTTCATCCAAAGCGGTTTAGGGTTTAGGGTCGAGGGAGCCATCGGGTTCATAGACGCAATTCCTTGCAGAAGCCCCTTAAACCCTGAGGCCTAAACCCTAAACCTTACCTGAAATCTGGGCAATCTCCACAGTTTCGTGCTGCTCAGTTCAGTGTAGCGCAGCTGGCATCATGCATTCTCACCTAAGTCCCCTCTGTCCCACACCTGCAAACCCCAAACTATGGTGGGGTTGTCCAAAATCATGGTGGCTCTGTTGGGTGCCCCAAATATTTGAGGCTGTATTATGCTACGACCCCCAAAAACCCGGGCCACAATTTTGACAACCTAGCAGAACTACCCCAAACTCAACCTTTTTGTTTCATATGAGTTGCTGTCAGTAGTAGCCCTATCAAGGCACCCTTAACTGTGGACAGGGGTCCATGTTGTAGTTTAGTATCGTTCCCAATACAATCCCTAAAAAGGAAGCCATGTCCATTAAATTATGTAGCTAAACCCTAAACCCTAGGACGTATTGACTGTAGGTCATAACTGGCGACTCCTCAGGTGCTGTTTCCCGTTTTCTTGCCGGGAGAAGGCACTTTCCACTGGCTCGACTGGCACCTCCTGGCATGTGGACAGGTCTCAAACATCTCCATCCTGGAGATGGTGGTTAGGAATTGGGGTGGGCCCCAGAAAGACCACAAAATGCTTTAAGCCCTGTTGTAGGGAGCATGGTGGTGCCTATTCAGGACTCCGTAGGGTCATTTAGGGTTTAATGGTTCTAGGGTGTAGGGTTTAGCCCTACCCCCTAAAGGGGTACTGTTGAAAAGCTCTAGTCTGGCCCTTTTGAAGGCAATACCCTGAAAGCCCGTCGCCCACATTTTGCGGGAGGTGTTTTTTTGATGGCTTAGGTCTACTTACTATACTCCCAGACGAAGTAGCCAAAAACTGAGTCAAAGACAGCCTCCAAGCACGCTGGCCTCCATGTTTTCCGTCTACGCTGAGTTGTTTAGGGCGAATGGCTTCGGGAATATTACCCCGTAATGGACACATGAAATGGAAAGTGGGAGTAGACATAGAGGGCTTAATGGTCGGTAGGAAAACCAAGTCACATCCAGGTAGCAACCTCCCGGTAACTGCTAATCTACATAGCAGCATGCTTGCATCTATCGTCATTTACTAATGCTTAGATCTCTATTTCGTCCCAGTCTCCATGCAATCAGTTCCATCCATGTTCTTGCCCATGTTTTCTCCATTGTTGTATCCTTAAACTTCCAATGCCCGTGTATGACCCCAATACAATCGAAATAGACCGCCTTGAAGTTATGCTGGCTCCTACATTATGTTGTATCATACACCTACCTTGGTCTAAGAAGTGGTGATCCTGTTACTGTTTAGATTCCCAGACATGCCTTTCAGCCGACTTTTTTGGATCACCTCCAGGCCTTGACTTCAGGGACACCACATATCAGAGTCTTTGTAGACATACAGACGTTTATGGTTCGGGAAAATGTCAAGAGGGCAGCTTCTGCCAGGGGAGCCTGTGAGAAAGCTGCATAGTCCAAGGCCTCGTGTCTTATTGCTCCCTTACCCTACGGCTGAAATTAGCCCAAAAGCCTTTCATAGTATGGTCTTTGGGCCCAAAAGCCTTAAGAGATGAATCCTTAGCCTTAGGGTTAAGTGTTGTAAAAGCGGCTGTATTGTGGTAGCCAACATTTGAGTCCAGTAGGAAGTTTTGCGCACCCTTCCGACATGCTGCACCCACCTTTTTCAGGAAAGTGACCTGCAATCATATTTGGCGCCTGTGATCTCAAGTCAGGGGGCCCTTAGCTCCCTACCGAACTCCGTGTCACAATGGCGTACCTGCTGCTTGCTTTGTGTGCGGGCTTTCTCGGTAGAGCCTGTGCGGAGGTTGTGGCAGAGACGTGTAGTACCAGCTGGATTCAAGAAGGTTATGTTCTCAGCTCCAGAATCGCCAGGAATGTAGAAGTCGCAGAGGCCTCCAGGGTCCAGGAGCAAGGGCCACTGACAGAGGAACTGAATGCCAAAGGCTTCTCCGACTTCACCGTCCCTATCAGCCCCAGGGTGATCATGATGATGGTTGTCTTCATCGCGCTGCTGATAGCGCATGAGGCGTTTGTAGCTGTAGGTATGAAGCCACTGATGGCGAATCACCAAAAGCCGAACAGCCTACCAATGCAGTGTGCCTTCGCCCTAAATTGGCTTATCATGATGGTTTCCCTTTCCATGCTTGTTCCGGTTTCCCTGGATTATGCGTTGGCCATGGGGCAGTCTGCGACTGCGAGCGGGGTTTTCCTCAGTGGACCCACCGTGTTCGCACTGCTCGGAACCGTTCTTGGTAGGCCACTCACCAGTGAGGTGAATTGGGATCAGGTCTACGCCCGAAACTGGGTTGCTGTTAAGGAGTTTAATTTCATTTGCTTTATTGAGGAAACATGCGGAAACCGTATTAATATATATATATATATATATTCATTATGGTAACTTAAATTAAGTTCCCTAACAGCAACCCAGGAAACCTTTGGATCCGCTGCAACAGCCTAGTCTTCCTGGGCTACTTGATTCTGGCTTTCCTTATGCAAGCAGCTTCCCATTGGAGTGACTCTGCTAGAAAGACGGCCTTTTGGGCCTTCCTTTTCGTAAATGCTATCCTTCAATTCTTCAACTCTCTCCCGCTAGTGGGCTGGAGCACCATGTGGAACATCGTCACGCCGAACAGCCAGAAGACGCTTTGGAGCATGATAACCATTAGCTACCCGGCTGAATAATCCCCAATCCCTAAACCTTAATCCCTAAACTCAAAACCCTCAGTAGCTAGTCTTCGCATAGTTTTGGGCTTCCATGCCCATACAAAATAGTGTGACAGTCCGAGCAACCAAGAGTTCCAAACCCTACACAACATACTCCGCACAGCATTCCTATAGCATCCCCTTGTACTACAATAGGATCAAGCCGAGTCCGGTTACCTTATCTTCGGAAAGCCCATAACCCTAGAATGCGGTCTAGGATCTAGGGTTTAGAGTTTAGGGCCGCTAACATGGGCACACCCAAACCCTAAGGTATGTAGGGGCCACCCCAGATTTGGATAGATACAAACGGCTGATGGGCCGATGGTTTTCACCTTAGACATTGAGTTAGGCCCGCACAACCACTAATACTCTGAGGACCCGAATATAGTCGCCGTTATACCTTGTGGTGACTTTGAGTGGATGGGGGCTCCCTAAACCCTGAACCCCTAAATTAGTGCTTTTTAGACACAGGTTGTCGCAACGCTGGCTTCATTGTTGGCCCTGTCTGCTACGCAGCTCTCAGCTTCACTGTGCGCAAGGGGCGTGATGTGGGGATTTGCTCAAAGTTCTGGGTTCCTTTCCAGGGGTTACTGTACAGGTAAGTTTTTCAAAAAAGTCCGAGGGGCTACAGTTTGTCTCGGAATTTTTAGGAGGTTCTAGGATTGTCAGTCAAAAGTTCTGGAGGGAGTTTAGGGAACACATAATACATGCGTAGTCAGGGTGGAGGGAATAGTTCCTAATGGTTTTCACAAGTACCTTTTTTTTGTGGGGGAGGGGGCTGGTGGTTCTCTATATATAGTATACATGAAAAGAAAACATATGCGGTGCGTATGGGGTGCCTGCTTCAAAACCTGCACCTGTGTCTTGGGCTGCGATGGTTACCATGGATCGTGGCACCTTGAACCCTAGCAAAGCAATGTGATTCCTTTGTTTAGACAAGCCTCCTCTCAGTCAGGTGGATTGTTGTGAGAAATAGGGGGAGTGGTTGAATATAGGCCCCCAAGTACTACCCCCCAAAAAGGTACCCGTAATCGTTGGAAAGCCGCCAGGTGTCTCCAGTCAGCATGATGGGCTGGTCCTTCATTGGGCTGGCGATGTTTCAAGCCACGGCGCTGGTAATGGGGGTTCTCTGTTTGCCCACAGTGATCGCTCCATTTGCCAAAGAGGACTGGGTTGCTGTTAAGGAACTTAAATTCAGTTACTATATTGGGGAAACCCTATTATTTACTATATATACCCATTATGGTAGCTTAATTAAAGTTCCTTAACAGCAACCCAGAGGATGAAGTCGAGGAGGTACCCGAGAATGAGGAAGAAGTGGAGCTGAACCCCGAGGCCTGGCGCTCGAAATGAGGCGTTTAACTACTATTATTTGGGTCATTCCCCCTCCCAGTAACTGTCCTTAAAGGGTCCTTATTAAGGGGGTTCTTATAACTCCTATAACCAATTGTGGTAACAGTTACTGTAAGGGGGAATGACCCCAACTATTATCACTTCCAACATTATTGCTTTTATTGCTATCATTACTATTACTATTATTGCTATGTTTCTCATTATTATTGCGTTTCTTTTCTTCTTATAGGCTACTGATAACAGGCCTAGGGGTAAAGGATGTGGGGGGTATGCAAGCGTCTCATGGTGAACCTAAGGGGGCAAGACCTTCCAGATCTTAAGCCCTCAAGCGAAAGCTGACTACTGGCTAGCCTGAATGCTACTCCCTTCCCCTGATCATAAAAATTCCCCTAGGCCTTTTACAAGGTTTAGGGTCTAAACCCTAAATCCTAAACCCTAAACCCGAAGGGGAAAGGGTCAGTCTCCCTCCCCAGCATCCAGGAGCTTCCACCAGACTCTCGACGCCAAATTGTGTGGAACATCATTGCCTACTGCTATGAGCGACTGGGTTGCTGTTAAGGAACTTAAATTAAGTTACCGTAATGGGTATATATAGTAAGTGGTAGGGTTTCCCCAATATAGTAATTTAATTTAAGTTCCTTAACAGCAACCCAGGCGACCCTTCACAGTCTCTGCCATAGAGGTTTCCACAATGATGCTCTTAGAAGTGGAGTACGGATGGCCCTCAGAATTATGTGGAGCTTCCTTCATGGTCGTGGGTGGGGCCAGTATATTGATGGGTGTTGTGAGCAGCGTGGTGATGGCCAGGAAGTGGATAAAGGATTCCATTCTCTTCCTCGGCTCCACGTTCATCTCTCTGGCGGGCGTCTTGTTATTGTTCGACCCTGGATTGTCGTTCAGAAGCTAAAACCAACGTACAGATACATGCATATAGTAGATGGGGCTTCCTTATTTGTACTGATAAGGGTAACTCGGTTTAAGTTCCAAAGCCTAAGCCCTAAATCCTGAAAAGCAGACCAGGATTGGCCGTTCTTTGGGGCCTTCGGGGCCGGAAGCCTGTTGCTACTGGGCTGTAGTTAAGAAGTTTAGGGCTTAGGGTTTCGTATTGTTGGTTTATAGTCATGAATATGGTTCCCCCATCAAGCCCTACACTCTACACTCCAAGCCCCAAGCCCTAAGCAATAATTAAACCCTAAGCCCGGAACCCTAAACCCTAATTCTTTCGCTTGCGAAGCTGGGGACAGTTCGGAATGCACATGCCTAATTCTCCAGGGTCGCTGACTCCTTGGTCTACTCCTTCTCGAGCGTCTCGAATGGCATTGCCCAGGGCTGGGCCACGAGGGCGGCCATGAAGGGCACGAGTCGTGGTTCAAGGTTTGGGGTTCAGGGTTTAGGGTTTAAGGTTTAGGGTTCAGGTTTTAGGGTTGCTGTTGCAGAGCCTGCTTCAAGTTACCATAATATGGGTATATAGCGTTTCGGGTTTAGAGTGTAGAGCATAATCTTACTGGTTGCTAGTAGGGAACAATGGAACCTTATTTATCGGGATTATATAGAGACGATATTCCCATGTTCCCTGCTCACAACCAGTAAGTAATTGAAGCGCTTAGTTTGAGTTCCCAAAATATGGGTATCTGGTTTTAGGGTTCAGGGCTTAAGTTACTCTAATATGGGTTATAGTTACAGTAAATGATAGGGTCTTTCCCTTTTAAAGTAACTCAGCTGAAGTTCCTGAACAGCACCCTAAACCCTAAACCCTAGACCCTAAACCCAGCAGCCCAGGAATTTTGACATCCAGACCTACCGTGTGCAGAATGTCGCAGGCGTTCAGATCAGCAGATTCGTCGCCCCCATCTTCACCCGCTTCATCCTCGACTTCGGCGGCCGGAACTTCTATGCACTGGTACAGCTGATCCTGGGTTGCTGTTAAGGAATTTAGGGTTTAGGGTTTAGGGTTTAAGTCACTAGAATAAGGAAACCCTAGTTTTTTTTACATATCCACATTTTGGTAATTAATAAGGAAACCGAATTTTTGACTACATACCCATATTGTGGTAATTAACTCTGTACCCATATTGTGGTTGTTTAATTGAAGTTCCTTAAGAGCAACTCAGGATCATGTGCACCATGGGGACCTCCACGGTCTGTCGCACAGTCTGGCTGGTATGGCGGGGGAGAAGCCAGGAAAGGAATGCTGAGGATGAGATTCTGAAGCCAGAGTGAGGGTTTAGGGTTTAGAGTTTCGGGTTCAGGGTTTAGGATTTAGAGTTTCGGGTTTAGGGTTTAGGATTTAGAGTTTAGGCTTTAGGGTTGAGGGGAGCAACACGTAGCGCAGCGAGTGCGAAGGTCGGAAGTGTTTGAAGTGACCCAGCATCTTCAAGTTACGTAGAGCTAGCTAGGATGCAGGTACACGTTGGCAGACGTAGACGTCTGTCCTGTTAGTCAGTGGAAAAAACTGCGCATCTCCCTGGCTTAGAGTTCAGCTCATGGCATGTCCGAAGGTGGTGCAGGAGACATGTTTAGAGGTGTGGGTGTTTCCCAATATTTGCGCTACCTTGGTCGGCATGATACATATTACCCTGCTTTGGGCTCTAGACTGGGGTCCCCCTCTTTAGGGAAACTACCAGATGGATTTTGACGACTGCTGACCTCCCTTGCTGTTGAAGAAACCTCTGTTTTCACAGCCAGGTTCCTCACGGAACACCCCGAGTTCACGGAGATCAGTGATCGAAAGATGGTTGATTGGCATCCTGCCTCCATTGAGCAACCGTGCAAATTCTCCTTGGATGGTAGATTGTCAGGGGCTTGCGCCAGAGTTATCATGCACCCGAAGTTGGGTTATACGTGACTAAAGGAACACGGTTTCGTCATAATATGAGCTTCTGTCAAGTTTGCGGTTGCAAGGGGCCATGAAAGGTAGACACAGAGGTTCTCTTTGTAGTTTAGTATAAACCCTCATGCATGCCCGCATCATAAGAACCCATGTCCAGTAATTATATGAGCTATGGTCTAAACTCCTTAAAGGTGGTTATAATTATAGGGGATGATATAGGGGAGTACTATAAGGCTTCTTAAGGGGGTTACTAGGAGCTTAGACTATAGCTTATATGGGGAATATTGACTGTAGTTGATGTAGTGACTGAGAAACACTGTCGCATCATCTCTGCTCGGCCGCCTAGGTTTCTCTTGTTGGGTTTAGGGTTAAGGGTTTAAGTGTTAAAGGTTTAGGGTTTAAGGTTTAGGGTTTAGGGTTAGGGGGTCTTATGATGGACATCCTTTGCATGCAGCTATGCATGTTTCTCCTAAGAAGCCTTCAACAGCAGGGTTGAGTATTCCCATGGTCCCAACACTTCCGTAGCCGCAGATGTTTCGGTCCTGGTGCGCGAAATTTACTAATGTACGTTACAAAATCATACAACGCCTATCGGCCATATTAGCAACCTGCCAGCCATGTTTATGACCGACTTACCATATCTATATATATATATATATATACGTAAAAGATCTACTTCCTGACTTCCCTTGACGCTCCAAGTCGGTCTTCGTTCGTTATTACTATTACCATTACTATGACGATTACTACTACTACTA